GCTGATAACCTAGCAAAGGCTGGAATTGGTTAGTTTTGTTGTTGAGTTCAGGGTGTTTTGTTTGAGTATTTCGGGTTGTTCTTTGTAAGGGCCTTGGATGTTTTAAACATTATGTAATTTTTCAGTTATTAATGAATTTTGAGGCACTCTTATCCTTCTTCCATTGATAAAGGAACACCTTTCGATGTCCTTTCAATCATGAAGGAGGTTTTTAACGAGGCCTCCACTTCTTTAAAAAAAATACGAACACAACCTGTAATCTTTATCAATAATTTATTCAAGTATTGAAAATCAATTTTAATATATAGTACAAGTCTTGCATTCCTTAATTGATATGGTCTACCCACCACCTTGCATCATAATAAGCAATGTTCTCTTTCTCAGTTCTCCAGATCTCCTAGCTTTACCCCTTTCAAAACCCAAAATTTTTTAATTTTGATTTTGATAGATTTGCTGAAAATGAGGTGTCATATGCCTCATTGGGTTCTTAAAATCATATTCATGAGTCCTAGAGTTGGTTCGCTCCCCACTGGAGTAAGTTGGACTACTTTCATCAACAATCTGAGTAGACGAGTCTCACAAAGAGCCTTATGGGAGTTTTTCAGTCACCATGAAAAGGTAATCAAGGTCTTCATCCCCTCGTCAACAAGAGGCCACAGAACATAGATTCCACTTTTGCTTTTCTTCACTTCGCGTGTCAGAAAGACTTTTTGATAGGAATAAAAGGCCTCAATAAAACCCCCTTGGTGATTAACAAGTCAGAAAGACTTGTTGAAAGCTATTGAAAAGGTGAATAATGCTCCGATGGACGAAAAAAGGGTAATGGTTGGGATTGCAAAATATAAGAAGGTTCATAATCATAAAGAACTTACTGGTAAAGGTATTGAAGGGTCAAAAAGGCATTCAGAGGAACTTGTCAAGAGTTTCGAAGAGAGGAATTTTTTAATAAGTTCAAAGATGACAGATCGTACATGGAAGCACTAGTCAGCAATAGTAGGAAGCCTGACTCCAGCCCCAGTTCAGATAGGTGGAAGCATAACAACTTTGAAAGGTCTAATCAGAACAAGAGTGATTCAAGGGGAAAGAAAAGTCTGATGAATGTCTTCATACCTTCGAAATAGAATCAAATGGATTAAATTTTCTTTAATAGGCATAATCAAATCATCCTTTGATAACGAGTTCATTTAGAGGGCTATTATGAATGATGGTTTCAATGCAAATGTGGCTAGATGGGGCTATGCAAAAAACGCATATATTGTCTCGTTTTCTTTTGAAGAGGAAAGAAGGCATCGAAAAATAAATTTGAAGAGTTAAACTTTAGGTTGATTGGCTAGCTCTATTGTCCTCGGAGGAAGGAGTGCCTTTGGCGTTCTGCTCGGTCTCCTTGATTGGAGTTCCTCTCAACTGTTAGAGTGAAGCTTTATTCTCCGGCTTGGCAAAACGTTGGGGTTTTGTTATTAAAATTCAAGAGGAGGCTCTTCAAAAATTAGATTTAGGTGTAGCTAAGATGATAGTGAGGGTTGCAAGCCCGTTTAACTTCCCCAAGTTTGTTACTATTCTTTCGAATGGTAGACCATATGTGATCAAGGTCAAGGTAGACATGGATGAGGCAAGATCCCATGTTCTGTTCAGTCATAATTATGAGAGGTAGTCAATTGATGTCTAGGAGGAAGATTCATCGAATAGTAATAGGAGAGGCGAAAATAATCAAGTGGATCAGGAAGACCATCAGTCAGCTTTGGCTTTACAGGAAAGGGTCAAATCATGGTTGCAGGACAATGAGACAGTTGGTTGTCTAGGGAATGTTCCCTGTTTTAATTCCACAGGTGGATCGAGGCAGAATACAATAATGGTTGAATCAAAATTTGAGCCGAGTGATTATGTTACCCCAACATGCCAGGAAGATGTCAATCTAGGCTGTGTGAAGAGAGAGAGAATAATTAATTGTATTTCCTTCTCTGTTGGGCCTGTAAATCCTCCTTCTATTGACGGTGGACTTACTTTGTTAGATGAGAGGGGTTACTCCAGCCAAATAATTGTTGAGAATATTATATTTGGGCTCGAAGGGTTATCTAGGTCCAGGAATATTTCTGTCAGTGAAGGTGGAAACAACTCCAGACTTTCTAGGAGCCTTTCGAAAAGAGCAGTCAATCTAGTCGATGGCCTTGATCGATCTCAAAGTAGGATTATTCGACATCAAAGGTCCCCTTCCTCGAATCATAGTCAGTCTGAAAGATGTGTTTCAGTTGGGAGGAATGATAGTGGGATTTTCGACAAAGTGTATAGAAGATTTAAAAGTAACAAGGGTACGTTTGTCGTGGATCAGGGTAATAATTCCTCTTCTTTTTCCCCATAAATATTTGAGGATATAAAGGAGGCAAATGCTACATAGAATGTAAGTAATATGCTGGGCCAGGAGCTTTGTTGCAATATGATGAAGCAATGGCATCTCACTCAAATTTCTTCTTCCAAGAAAGGACTCTCCAAGTAAGAACTCTTCACCTCTGAAAGTTTGGAAAAGTTGAGATCAAGGTCCACTACATCATAGTTGGCTTCCAATTGTATGCTTCTTTGAAAAATTCGAAAACACATGGTTTGATTTGATTGGGTTCAAAAATCAGCCTGTCATTTACTCTCAAGGACTTAAGTGAATTCATCATTCCTCTATTCGAAGCACACTGGTGGAAAAATCTTGAATTTCGGTCACCATCTTGTATCCACTTCACTCTTGAGGTTTTATACGGGTAAACTATGCGAATAGTCCATTTTGTTTAGAGTCTGACCGACTTTGGTCACCAATTTAAAAATTAAGACTAAATAGTTCCTCACATTATCGGTTTGTTAGGTTTAAGTCCCTCTTCTATTAATTTTCATTAACCCCTTTTGTTTAAGTCCCTAACATGGTTGAAGGACTAAAATCAATTGTGGTTAATAGTTGAGGGACTAAAATCGAACATATCAATAACGTTAGGGACTAAAATTGAACATATCGATAACGTTACGGACTAAAATTGAACAGATCGATAACGTTATGGACTATTTCCCCATAATTTATAAATTGATGACCAAAATCGATCAGACCGAAAACATAGGGGGGCTATTCACATAGTTTACCTTTTTGAAACCATATTTATTTTTAAGTTTTATACAAATCCCAAAGTTTCGTATTTGCTTTCGCCAAGGAATCCAACGAAACATAAAGGGACCTATGTTGTATGCTAACTCCATATCTGGAATGGACTTCTCTAAATATGAAATTAAACCCGACAATTTGAGATGCATATCGTCAGAACACCTCTTGATAGCTGCCTTTGATCCTTTTAATATGCTTACAATTCCCTCCTCCTCTTGCCCTTCTTCAGCTCCTAAAATTCTCACTCCATCATTTCTTTGAAACCATCTTCCTCTATCAGATAACTAAACAATTTAAAAGGTTTAGATCCAAGTTGATCCCGCTTTTTTCTAACAATATAGCATTATGGTATGATTAGGTTTTCGAGAGTAATACTTGTGACATGTTTGGAAGAACAACCAAGAATCTGATATCCAACAGAAAACCATCAAGCCTAAACCAAAGGGACTATTTGCATAGTTTACCCGTTTCAGAAATCAATATTGAAGTGGATACAAGATGGTGACCGGAATTCAAGATTTTTCCACCAGTATGCTTCGAATAGAGGAAGGATGAATTTATTAAGTCCTGGAGAGTAAATGACAGGCAAGTTTCTGAACCCAAGCAAATCAAATCCTATGTTTTCGAATTTTTCAAAGAAACATACAATCAGAATCCAACTATTGATGTAGTCGACCTTGATCTCATCTTTTCCAAACTTTTGGAGGTGCAGAGTTCTTACTTGGAGAGTCCTTTCTCGAAAGAAGAAATTTGGGATGCCATTGCTTTATTAGAATGCAACAAAGCTCCTAGCCTAGATGGTTTGAACATGTGCCTTTTCAAGAAATTTTGGTCGAGCCTTAAGGACGATATTTTGAAGTTTTTCAGAGATTTTTCTTAGGGAATAAGTGGGAAAATGAGGTCAACCATTCTTCTGTCACTCTCATTCCCAAAATATTTAATCTAGAATGCTTGGAGGATTATAGGCCTATTAGCATAGTTGGGGGATTGTATAAGATTGTGTCTAAGTTTCTTTCCAAAAGGCTTCGAATGTGCATTGACTCCATTATAGGTCCCTCTCAATTTGCCTTTATACCGGGGAGATAGATCTTGAATTGCTTTTTTATAGCAATCGAGGGCATTGACTACTGGAGGAAGAAGGATCTCAAATGAATTGCTTTCAAAGTTGATTTTAAAAGAACATACAACTAGTTGATTGGTCGATTCTTTTGAAAATAATGGAGCATATGAGTTTTGAGCAGAGGTGGTGTTCTTGGATTTCCAAATGCATTCCATCTGCCATTATCTCTGTCTTAGTGAATGGTTCACCCTCAGAGGAAATCAAGATTGCTAGAGGGCTACGTTAAGGTTATTCTTTGTCTCCACTGTTATTTAATTTGGTTGGGGAATTATTGAGTCTTCTGCTCACCAAGGCGGTCAATTTGGACATGTTTAATGGTTTTGTGATTGGAAAATCTAAGAACTCATTTAAGCTTTCACACTTGCAGTTTGCTGACAATTTGTTAATTTTCTGCAACGCTTCAATAGGTTAATTGAGGAATGTTAAGAGAGTTTTACTCATCTTTGAATTGATGTTTAAGATCCAATTAAATCTCACTAAGAGCAGAATATTTTGTATTAATGTAGAAGATGGTGTTCTCAAAGAATGGGATACTTCTATCGGTTATTTGGTAGGTGTCTTTCTGGCGGAGTATCTTGACCTTCCACTTGCAGCCTAAGAACTCGATCTCATTATGGGACCCAGTGATCCAAAGATTTTATATGAATTGGCGGGCTAGAAAGCAGCAACCCTATCTCTAGCTGGATGAGTTGTGCTTGTGAAATCAATATTAAGTTCCTTGCCTATATACTTCTTAACAACCTTCAGAATGCCTTCCTGCGTTCTTAAGAAATAAAATTCAATCATGGCTAGGTTTTTATGGGGTGGTTCCACCGAGAAGAATCGGATTCATTGGGTCATATGGTTGATCGTTTGCCAACTTAAGGATTATGAAGAGTTGGGAATTATTAATCTTAGTCTTATGAATCGGACTCTTTTAGGAAAATGGACTTGGAAATTTGCTAGTAAGAACGAAACGTGGTGCAAAAGGGAAGTGTGCAGAAAATACAACATAGACAATAGGTTTATCTCGTTGGAAAATGCTCTAACCTCACAAGCTTCTTGGTTATGGAGAGTAGTGGTTAACAACTGCTTGAAGAATGATGCTTTTGGTTTATGTTTTTGCAATCACTTACACTTACAAGTTGGCAATGGGGGAGTCTATCCTCTTTTTGCAAGATATTTGGTTAGGCAGTGTCCCTTTGAAAACTTAGTTCCCAAGATTATTCGCTCTTTTTGTTAACAAAGGTGAGAAAATTGCATAGTTTAGAATTTTGAACTCCTCGGGTTGGTGTTAGGACATACAAATTAGGAGAAACCTTGTAGATTTGGAAACGGATCAGTGGGTTGTGCTAATGTCGATGCTGTGTGATGTTAAAGTTGGGCCCAAGATCATCCTTGGAAAGAAAATTTAAAGCACGAAGAACAATACCTGAGTAGAAGATTAGTTGATTTTGATCTTTTCCCTTTCAAACTAAAAGTTCAAGTATTCTCTCCGTATAACTTTGGCTCTCCTCTAATCTGTACTCCAGGTTAGTCATCTGATTCTCAAAGCCTCTTTTTTACTCTTCCCATCCATCTTTCATCTGATTTAACTGACTTTGAATAGGTTCTGTTTGCTCTTGCATAGAATTCAGAGTGGTATTTTTTGCCATTACTAAGTCTTCTTTTGCCTTCCTAACTTATAGGTGGATCAAAACAAGCCTTGCATTGATTACCATTTGTCACAACCTGAAGGTGTGACCTTGAATATTTGCTGAAAAATAAAGGATTCTAGAAGATAGAAGAAGAAAATATTAATGATAAGCAAAAGATTCCATTAAAAGTTTTCCAATTTAGCTCTTTCATCAGATTCTCTGTAGAAGGACGCTAATCCCCTATTTTTAACATGTCTTCTATTTTGTCTTCATTTGCTCTGTCTTCGGCTCTAGCGTACTCCTTTCTGCATTGGATCAATTGTTGGGCTCATCATCCGAGCTTTTATCTACCTTGGTTGCAGAGGGTTGGTTTGCTTCAGGAGTCATTTCCTTTACTTCTATTTTTCTTGGTTGCATTAGGTTAATCTGCTTCTTACAGGCCTGGTTGTCTTGGGCCACTTCATGTTTTGTTGGTCTACTTCATTATCATTAAAAGAAACGTTTTTGTTTGTTCCACTCTTCACAATCCCTCCCTTTTCCTCGAATCCTCTTTCGATTTGCCCTAATTTGCAAATTCCTAATTCCGTAATCCCTTAAATTTTCCTTTCTCTACCCACGACCATACAGGTCAATCCCATGCTAATTCCTATCATGAGTTTGAAATTAGAGGATGAAACTAACCCCCATCAGTTGCTTCTTTTCCTCATTTGTTTCTCCTCCTCTCTTCTATTTTTCCCAATTTAGTCATCCTCAACTCTCTTACCCCTCTACGAGTTCCTTCTCCTTCTACCTCGATCATTACCTCTCTCTCTAGCTACCTCTTTCTTCTACCCATTAATGTGGGTAGAATCTCAAGAAAAAATGTTTCCTTTCATATACAACACTTTTTTGGCTTCTAAAAAGGAAAAAAAATCAAGGAGTAAAAATCAAAGTCCAAGTCCCCCAAGGATGAAATCAACCCCTATTAGTTGCTTTTTTCTCCTCTTTTCCTCGTTTGTTTCTCCACTTCTTTTCTTATCTTTTTTTCAATCTAATCATCCTCTCCCTTAGCCCTCTACACTCTATAGTCCCTTCTCCTTCTAACTCTATCACTACCTCTCTCTCTACCTTCCTCTTTCTTTTGCATAACTCAATCCTAATGTAGGTAGAATCTCCAAAAAAAAATATTGCTTCCTTTCATATACAACACTCTTTGTTTTGGTTTCAAAAAAGAAATAAAAAATCAAGTAGTAATCAAACAAAGTTTAAGCCCGCACCTGTTCCCTTCATACCTTGATGATCAAAATTCATTTCTCCAAGATAAGTTCTTAGAATTGATTATTGGATTTAAAAGAATAAGACATAATCATTTACCTACTTGTAGCACAAAAGGAACCCAAAATACTTTTCAATAGTAAATTAACTTTAACACTGAAGCAAATGATTCTAGATATATTCTATATCCTAAGAGCAATAAAGAATCCTCCAAAAACATTAAATTGTCAATGCTTTAAGTCTTGAACTAAAGAAATTGTTTTCAATAAGATGATAATACTAAAGTGAAGGCAAATTATGAGAATATCAGAAAACAAATCAAAGATGAATTATCTAATAAAGGTTTTCTAAATAAAACAACACAGAGCAAAATAACGCAAATGAATAACCAAACTGAACCTAAAGATTTCAATAAAGCAGAGGCTAATCAAAAGGAAAAAATGGCACCTACCAAAAAAAACTTATACGCACAAAAATTACAAAATGTATTCTTTGGTGCAGAAATCACGAAATAAGAAGCTCTGTTCGTAATAGTACTTACTTTGACACCTAAGAGCAATGGACTACCACGCTTGCAAGCAATAAGCTCATTTGGGTAATGTGGACTTTTGAAAATAAGGGCATATGCTCCCTCAAGATGCCTCATAACTTCAAGTACTACTTGACTGAACGTGACAGTCTGATCACCTGAAGAACATATAAAAACACAAAAGTGCATTTGATTGAAATGTCTCCCCAAGCACGTGAACAAAAAGCATTTTCAGTAAGATATTAGACTAATTGCAAAGATGTACTTGGAAAATAATGAAGGCAAAAGAAACATGTAGATTGTAACCAAATAAGATATGTATTTTACTATATATTCTAGATGTATTTTATGTTAATCTTCTTAAAATATAAGTTAGATGTCTATTAAATAATTTAGATAAGGACTTCTACGTAAACACTAAATAGGACTCTACTGTTGTAAACTCAGCCATTTTAAACAGGCTGATTATTCAGTTTTATACGTATGAGAAAAAAACAGAAAAAGAGAGATTCTCTTTTACATTAAACTCCTCTTCTTCATAAAACTTAATGGTACCAGGTTACGTTTTCAGTTTCATAAAAACGATTCTCTCTTTTTCATAAAACTATTCAGTTTCAATGCTGAGTTGTCTTTTTCTCCTGTTCTCTGACTACAATATATGCTAATTGTTGTATATGAATGTGATATACTCCATGTCCCACTTATGTTCAGCTTCTTTGACTCTGCTTTTCCAGCATCCTCTTCCGAGCCATTTTGAGAATTTGATGTATCCTAGCCTACCTATGTGCCGCAAAAGACAAGATCTAGTTTAACGTTGAAGTTTGCAGGACTCCAAGGCCGAAATATATAACAATAAGATTCCATAAAATAAGTGGCTGGTTTAACCCCTTTCCCCAGAACCTCACCAGCCTTCTCAGTATTACATTTCTCATACTTGAGCACAACTAATGACATTTGTAATTCGAGGAGATCATGTTGCTATAATACTATCATAATCATGGTCCAACACACCATTATAATTATTGATTTACATGCAAGCATAGTGGCAGAAACTAGTGAACGATCACTGCACCTGTTATTGCATATCATTATAATTGATTTACAGCAAGCATAGTGCAGAAACTAGTGAACGATCACCTGCACCTGTTATGCATATCACATCAAAAGTATCAAGGGAAACTCTATGCACTAGGACCTTTACTTTGCCTCAAAAGTATCAAGGGAAACTCTATGCACTAGGACCTTTACTTTGCCTCAAGTACAAGGCACAAAAGAAGTGCATGTAACTACGTAGTAGGACTAAATATTAAGTGCAAAAGCACTGGTATAATGCATTTGTGAAATTGCAAGGTTGCAAAGCAATAATCATTATTGAAAAAATAAATTACCTTCTTCATTTGCTTTGTCAAAAACAAATTTGGCAAGCTTTGGTATCTCTTTCAAGGCCTGAAAATACATACATCACACAAACATATATATCTCAAAACTAGGCTATTAGGTATAAAAGCTGCAGACAGATTTCTAAAAAGCCATTAACTGATGAAGCTAGCAGTTCTATAGCTACATAACCATCTTCAGATAAAAATATTGTCTTCTTGCACCCTAACCACCCATTTACAGTTGTCAGAACCAAGCAGTATGTTCAACTACCAACATTAAGCCATCAAAACAGTTAGAGAGTTGAAGAAGCACCGCAAAAAAAGAATGAAGATAAAATATCAAAATGTAAAGGGTTGCAAACTGTTTTTGACTTGCTGAACCAAAAAAAAAAAAACTGTTCCTACTCTCTACCTTTTCTCTCTTTCTCTGTCTTTATCTTCTTTACTCAGAACATCAGTAAAAATTGATAACTTGTTAATAGGTTTGGTCCAAAATTTTCAACTCATGGCTCTATTCACCAGAAAGAAACCAAAGGTATCTACTTCCAAATTATCAATAAAAAAACGGATGGGAGAAAAAACAGAAGAGCAGCGCTACAGGCTAGAGCAATACCTACCATTTGAACTTAGTATATACTCTGTTATTCTCTGGGTTTCCATCTTATTAATTCATATGTGCGTGTGACTTAATTCTTTAAGAACATAAGCTACTTCAGTCACATTATTTAACATGATTTATTCTGTCTCAGTGGCATGGGAAAAAAAGGAGAATGCGAGAACAGAGGAAGAAGATGAATAGTAGAGAAAATGAGCTACAGGCTAGAGCAATACCTACCATTTGAACTTAGTATATACTCTGTTATTCTCTGGGTTCCATCTTATTAATTCATATGTGCGTGTGACTTAATTCTTTAAGAACATAAGCTACTTCAGTCACATTATTTAACATGATTTATTCTGTCTCAGTGGCATGGGAAAAAAAGGAGAATGCGAGAACAGAGGAAGAAGATGAATAGTAGAGAAAATGAGCACTAGTGGTCATACAAACATAACTAGAATTATCTATCAATTTCTCTATCAGTTGCTTACCTTATTCACTTTTAATATCTTATGTTCTTTGAAAAAATGTTAAATAAACAACAATTGCAGCATAAAAACCAGAGTTGCAAATCCATCAAGAATGCTTAATCGAGTCTAGTTTAGAAAATGAAAAAAGTCATTGAAAATTTAAGCAAACCTCATAATTAGTGATAACACCATTGTGAACAACCAAGAAGTCATTCCCAGAACCAGAAGTCTGAGGATGACTATTCCTTGGAGCAGGCTCCCCATGAGTAGCCCATCTGGTGTGTGCTATACCAGCATGAGTAGTAAAGGATTTGTCCAAGTTCAACTCTATTGCAGCTACCTCTGAAAGGACCAAACCACCATTAATTCAGCCACTGGAGAAAACATTTTTACTTTTATTTATTTTTTTATTTCTAATATTAACAAACGACAGAAAAGAGCATGGGACAAGTCCAGCTTTTTTCACTCGAAATGAATTTTTCTCATAAGAAGTGATAATTACATTGTGAGAAACAATTAAGTTGACATTTTAAAAACAAATCATATACTTCCATTTTGATTCAGTGATAAAAGTTTTAATTTGTACCATTTAATTAATAAACTTACATTTCAGCTTCACATAATTCTGTGTAAATATATATAGAGGAATGATCGAATTACACACTTACAAAACTTTATAAATAACTAATATTTTAACAACTCAACCGTCATATCTTACGTTTTATTCACTAAATTTGAGTAAATTAAAAATGTATAACTAATTCTTTAATTTAAAATTTTCACTAAATTTGAGTAAATTAAAACTGTATAACTAGTTCTTTAATATAAAATTTTCAATCTTAAGTATATAGCAATAAAAGCCAATAATTTCGATCAATAAAATTATAGAGATATCATATTGATTTGAAATTTACTTGCATGACGCATTTAATTATTTGGCTAAATCTAAGGGTCCGAGAGGCAATAACATCAATCATACAAAAAGTTAGTAAAGAATATAAAACTAATTACAGTAACAGCATCCCTTCTTTTCTTTTAAGTTACGACTACTACCGGACCGGCCAAACCTGTCCCTACAGGCCTAGCTTGACCCAACCCGGTACTGAGAAACGGAGAAATTCAATATAACAGATTAAGATGTGAATATGAGAAGGTTTTGGACCCGACCCGGTTAATAACCCAGGCTCCCACCCTTTTCGTAGAAACCAACCGAAAAAATCCAAAACACCAAATCATTGAAATAGAAACCGTGGAGGTAATAGGTTACCTTGGTAGACAGATTTGACGAGGGACTCGATATTGCCTTCCTGGCGAAAAACGAGAGGGGGAGGAGATAGAAAATTGTCGGAGGATGATTGAGCGGTGTTTGGAGAAGACGAGAAATCATTGTCGATGGAAATTCCAGCGGAATCGTAGCCTCTGTACTCGAGACGACGAAGGCCATTGAAGAGAACTTGAAGAATGTGCCTTCGTTCTCTGTTCACGTTGTAATTCAAATACGCAAATATTCCACACATTTTTATGAATCTTGTTTCTTCAAATTCTCAATTGCAGAAATAAATCAAATTTCTGAGGAAAAGAGGGAAAATATGTCTTGGGTTTTTCTTCGATCTCTGTTCCTAAAGATCAGAGGTGTACACTTTGACTTTTGAACTTGTTGGGGTAACTACGACTTTAGTACCTAAATTATCAATTTTTTTTGTTTTAGTATCTAAATTTTCAAAATCATACTTAATATTTAGTTTTTATTCATTTTAGTACTTCGCTGTTAAAAATTTAACAGGTTTATTACCTAAACTATTATTTTTATTCATTTTAATACCTAAACTTTTAATCTTATTCAAAATTTAACGTTAAGTTTTTAATAGGATACTAAAAATGAAACAAAAACTAAACGTTATGTATGATTTTAAAAAAATTGAAAGTTTAGATACTAAAATAGTATAAAACTTATAATTTAAGTACTAAACATATAATTTACTCATTTTTTGGCATAAAGAAGCATTTAGTCCTCGAATATATCAATTTTTTTAAAATTTTGTCATTAATTTTTAAAACAAAAGTTCAGGATAATTTAGTCTACACACCTTACAAACATTGTTGTTTGAACCCATGATTTTAAAGAACATTTTTACCACTTACACTATTTAATGGGTTCGATTCTTAAACTTTTTCACATTAATCTTTGAACTTGAATATATAATATTTTTAGACTTTTTTATATAACATAATCTCATATCATATTAGGAAGATATTAAAATTGTTGGTATAAAGTCTATAATTCGAACCTATTGAGTGTCTTAGTGATTTTAAAAGGGATATTATTCTCCCTTAAGGTTTAGATTTAAGCAGATGCATCTGTAAGGTGTGTATTATTAATGAATGAAATAAATCTTGAATAGATACTACCTCATATCCACCCAATTTATCAAAGAATACAAATAAAGAAAATTCAAGAATTATAAAAAAGGACAAGTTCATAAATTAAAGGGTAAACTACAGGTTTAGTACTCAAACTATCGGTTTTGTTTCATTTTAGTACCTAAACTTTTATTTGTTTCAAAATTATATCTAACATTTATTTTTGTTTCGTTTTGGTACCTCATCATTAAAAATTTAGCAAAATTGTTGTAACATGGTACTTTCTTATGGGTAAATTATATCATTCATCACTCAACTATCTTTTTACTCCTATTTTGGTCATTGAAGTTTAACTTTTTTAATTTAATTAATTAACTTTCAAATTACTCCTAATTTAATCACTCTAACGTTCAAATTTTAATTTTTTATTTTAGTTATATATTAATAAAATAATAATAATAAATTTCATGCAAAAAAATTATTAGTAAAATAAGGTCGAGTGATTAAAACATGAGTAATATGAAAGTTGAGTAGTTAAATTAAAAAAATTTAAACTTTAGTAACCAAAATAGAAGTGAGAAGATAGTTAAGTGGTAAATAATATAATTTACCCATGAAAACTGCCAAGCGCAACAGCTCCTTTAAGTTTTGAACTTTGGTGTACTAAAATGAAACAAAAAGTAAACCCTTTTATGCATAGTTTTGAAACAAATAAAAGTTTAAGTATTAAAATAAAAAAATGATAATTTAGATATTAAACATATAGTTTACCCTAAATTAAATTATATATAATGTGAGATTTAATTGGGTGCAGCTACGTGGCTGATTAGCGGGAATGACATTATTGTTATTTTGTTTATATTTGAGGGTACTTTGCCCGTATAGAAATTTTTGTGTATCTCAAGTACTTGGGTAAAATACACAATAGATCAATATATTATGTGTAAATTTATAATTTGGTTATCTCATTTCAAAAACTAGTAATTAAGTCATTCTACTCAATGAATATAATAATCAGATCACTTTATCGTTAAGTACGTAACAGACATTAACTTTTTAATTATAATAAGATAACTCTATTTATAGATTGTAACAATTAAATTATCACATTTATTGATTTATTGAGTATAACAATTATGTTTCTCAAATGTAACTAAAAGGTTAACATTCATTACAAATTAAATAGTAAAGTGACATAATTATTGGCAAAATTAGCTCAATATTGTGGGCGGCAAAATCTATTGGCCCAATATGACGATTCACAAATTATTTTGTAATCTACAACATTTATTATAGTATAAGGAGAATTGATATTATTTTTTTAATGACCTCATGTATGCGGGCTTAGTAGGGCCTAATATTATATTATTTATTTGAAACTCTCACTTTCACATGATGAATTACTTGTTTATATTTAAAAAATAAATAAAATATTTATTATTTTATTTTTAAATATAAAAATAATATACTTGTTATGTCTACATGATGAGTTCCTTGAGATGATTGTTTGGTTTTCAAAATTTCTAGCTATGTGACCATTGAGTAATGGTGAAAATTCAAATAGTCATAAATAACTAGTTCAATGGAACTCGTCATTTTTGAATTGTTTTGCAATTATAAATAGGGTTTAGGTTGTTTATAATTTTATTGTGTTTTATTGAGAAAAAAAGTTATGTGAGAAAGAATTTGAGATTGGAAGAATTTGTGAAAATATTTGATGTAAGTTTATAACTTACCATATTTTTTATTATTTTTCTTCTTATATTGTTAAATTTTTGAATTGTAATATTAATTTTGGTAATATTTTTTGTAGATTTAAAATATCTTCATGAGGAGAAATGTTACATCTTGATGATGTTTAGATTTTCTCTTGTCCGCCCAATTCAGTGAATTTTTAAAAAATTTAAATGCTCGAATTGTTAATGTTGTTGTTTTTGAAAATTTTATTAAATTTTAAATTTTAAAATGTAGGAAAAAGATTGAACCATTCACCATCGAGGAATTTTAAGTGAAGAGCCACATGATCAAATTGTCCCCATCTACAACAATTTGGATTGTATACTATCGAATTTCTTCGTGGTTTTAAATTGATGTCTACACTTATTTTGGGTTGATTGAATATTGGAGATCTGAAACTCATATGTTGTGGCTTATCAACTTGGTCAACATTGCTGAGACATAACAATTACAAGGTATACACTATTTGCAAGCATTTGTTGGGAAATGCAACAAAAAAATGAAAAGAATGAGTTGCGGATAAGAATGACATTGTTGGAGAATCATTTTTAAAGTGAATGAAAAGTCAACCGAGAAAGAGGTCATCTATGCAACCCGAGCATATCTTCTATAATTAATTGGATGGATATTTTTGTCGGAAAAATCTAAAAATATGGTGCACACTCAATATCTTCCTCTGTTGGAAGAATTTACTTATAGTCATACATATAGTTGGGGTTCAATGATTTTGGTGTTTTATATCATGAACTTTACAAAGCAACAATCATGGGCTTGGTGACTTTCATTTTTTTACACCAATTACATATTCTCCAGATGAATTTTCTCTTGCTGCAAGGTAACTTCTCGAATTTATATTTTAAAATTTTAAAATTATTAATGAATTTGGTATTTTAGAATTTTTGAAGTAATAATCGAGTTGATATGTTTTATTTATAATGTTATTTAGGTGGCGATATAGAATGAAGATTCAAGGTTGATGGTGCATCGAAAATAGATGTATGAATGAGGATCGATTACGTCGTATATATACGGTAAAGTTTCTAAAGTTTTTTATAACAATAAAATTTAGATAATTTATTTTATTTATTTATAGTTTGATTGGATGTCATATTATGACTTATAAATCTAGTAGTTTCTACCACCATTGTTTTATCACACAACGAAGACATGGTGCGCCGTAATTTCGTTGCTCTATTTTGTTATTATTGAGGTTATGTCGCTGATAGAATGTTGAGACAATTTAACTTTAATCAGCCCATTCCAACACAAATATACAACTTGGAAGCTCTCTACAAAATTGATGTCTGGGGAAAGCATAAAGAAGATTGAATGATGATTCATGTTGGATATAGACAAAATTGGAATAATGGGCATTTAAATTTACTTTTTCGTTCTAATATTCTAGATGATGATTTTGACTTCACAAGATCGTTGTACCTTGAAAATTATGAAGTAAATAGAAACCATATTTAACAATGTCGACTTATAGGGATGAATGGGAACAAATGAAGGTAAAATATCCAAAGGGATGAAATCATCATCATCACCATCATCTTCTTCGATGTATGATGCATCTCAACCAATTTATGTTGAGAGCTTATATCCTCCATTCTATGCTTCAATGGAAGCCTGACCCTAATGGGAAAGGGGTTCACGGGATCCAATACCACATGCTTAATAATTTGGTATTTTGGGACAAAGTTTGAGGTAATGACATTGATGATGGATACAAGTACCTTAAATAGTCTAACATTGTCACCCAGAGGTGAAGATCAAAGTGATGGAATGATGTATAATACATTGGTTCAAGAGGAAACAAATGAAGAAGAAGAAGAGAAAGGTGAACGACCACGAAGAAATCGACGAGCCCTACAACATTATCATTCAACCACGCCCAACGAAAATATAAGTACTTTTGAGTTATTGCATTTGGTAAAATAATTTTTAAATTATTATTTTGTAATAAATTTTTAATAGAAATAAAATTATGAAATTATTAGAATTTAATATTTGTTTTATTAGAGGTTTCAAAAACTTAAGTGTTTAAAAAATAAAATGACTTGAACATATAAAACCAAATATCTTGAAAAAAAATTAAACAAAGAGAAAATTTGGAGTTTTGGGTGTAGAAAACATAAAAAATAATTGTTGAACTATCAAGCTGACAATTTGGTGATCGATATGATTAACTTGGTAAAAAACATAACATAAACTTTGACACCTGGTTTTACAACATCTTAATCTTCATAGTCAATTGACTCGTCATATTTTAAGTTTAGTTCTTCAATCCTTTGCTATTTCTCTTGTTTCCTCATATATATATATATAAATTTTCAATTCTTGAAGTTAAGCGTCTATATTATCAAATGTGTCTTGTGATTTAGAATTTGAATTGAAATGAGCTATTTCTTGCTTATGATACTCGACATAAATTTCAACATTACTAATCAAATTGATAGTTTATTTTTTAATCATTCTATTAATAATTGCATCATTGTTCAGATAACTTATTGATGA